AAAAGTTGTCAGTTAATAAATAAAACGTTTGTCATTCTCAATAAAAATTTATTATAAAATTCATAAAGAACGGTTACTGGTTTAACTGAATAGCTTCCAAAGCGAAAATTACTTCATTAAGGTTATGGACCCAGCTAAGTTTTATTAATAACTAGCTGCAATAAGAAATATTTAATATGGCAAGTCTACTACCAGGAGTTAGAGTTTTCCTCAACTAAGTGGAAATAATTTTAATAATTGGAAGTTTAGAGTTAAAGCCATTTTCGCAGAAAAACAATGTAAAATAACATTAGAAACTGAAGAGGGAGAAATAAATCATTCAAAACAAGCAAAGTTTAAAGAAAGAGATGCAAGAGCTAAGTCGATAATTATACAATGTATAACCGATAAACATTTGGATATAGTAAAAGATTCCAATACAGCAAAAGAAATGATGGATGCGCTTCAAAATGTTTTGGAAAGAAAAAGCGTTTTTACGAAACTTACCCTAAAGAAAAAGCCACTGACCATGAAATGTAAGCAGGAAAAAAACTAGAAGATGACTTTCAACAATTTGATTCGTTAATTAGAGAACTCGAAAGCGTCGGTTTAAAAATTGAAGAATCCGACAAGGTTTGCCATATTCTTTTAACATTGAATGAAGAGTACGCATCAGTTATTACAGCGATCGAAACGTTAAACACTGAAGTATCAATGGATTTTGTAAAAGCAAGGCTCCTAGATGAAGAATTAAAAATTAAAAATAAAAATCAAACAAAAGGAGATAAAACCGATGATGTTACATTTGGAGCTTTCCCCATAAAGTGTTTAGCTTGCGGAAAGAAGGGCCACAAATCTACAGATTGCTGGTCAAGAAATTCAAATAGTAGAGGTCGATCCAATTTTCGTAAAAGGAGAGGATATTCACAAGCTAATTTTAGAAACGAGCAGTCTACGTCACAAAAAGCACATGGAGCAGCCGACAGTGAAGTCTCATTTATTGCCATGAACTGTCTAAATAATGACAATATAGAAAATGATATATTTATTCTTGATTCTGGTGCAACTCAACATCTGGTGTTAGATAAACTAGAGATTTTCATGTCAGAATTAGAAATTTCGGATCATGAAATAGTAATTCACATTGCAAATGGTGATAAAATGATGTCCAAAAAGAGAAGTATCTTAAAAGCAAAATATGAAGATACAATAATTTCAATTCCTGCCCTTATTGTGAAAAACATGCCTCACAACCTTCTATCGGTTGGAAAGTTAACAGGAAAAGATTTACATGTTACATTTAGTGAAGATGAAGTACGAATTCAAAGCAAACATTTTGAAATCAAGTGCAAAAAGTCTAAAAGAAACTTGTAAATGCAGGTAATTCCTTAGAAGAAAGTGTAAATATTTGTAAAATCAAAGCCGATCTATGGCATAGAAGGCTAGGGCACTTAAATAGACATTGAATAAACATTTTGGGATTGCCATCTTCCAAAGAAAAATGTGAAAAATGTATTGAAGGTAAAAGCACAAGAAGAAGTTTTCTCACAAAAGCGAAAAAGTCAAAAGCAATAGGTGATCTTATTCATTCCGATCTTGTAGGGCCAATAAAGTCTAATAAATGGTGCAAAATATTTCCAAGTCCTAGTGGACGATTTCTCGCATTTTACAATGGTCAAGCTCTTAAAAGTAAAAAAATGCAGCCGAGCAGAACATTATAGACTTTATACAATGTATCAAAACTCAACATGACCGCAAAACTAAAAGAATAAGAGTCGATAATTGAGGTGAATTCTCTTCAATTCAATTTAAAAATTTCTGCAGAACAAAGGGAATTGAAATACAATATACTCAACCCTATACTCCACAACAAAACGGCATTTCTGAACGCATGAATAGAAGTTTATTGGAGAGAATAAGAGTCAAAATAGTCGAAACAAATTTACCTACTTTTCTATGGATGGAGGCACTTCGTTGTTCAGTGTACGAGTTAAACATATGTCCTTCTAATGCTATACAGTATAAAACACCAGCTGAAATTTGGTATGGTAATAATGACCTCTCAAAATTAAGAATTTTTGGTTTAAAAGCATGGGTATTAACAATTCCAAAGCAACAAAAGCTTGATCTAAGAGCAAAGTCAATGCTTATGATAGGCTACTGCGGTAGTGGCTATAGACTATGGGATTATCAACAAAATACAATTGTAACTTCCACAGATGTTATTTTTGACGAAGAAAAAGTAGGATTTAAGAAACAAGACAAAGAAGAGAACATTTTCATAGAAAATACAGATAATGAAAACATACTGGGAGATACAGACAACCAGAATGAAAAACAAGTTAAAATAGAAGAGAGTAAAAGCGTAGAAGAAATTAGAGAAACTACGTCTACTACTAAATCAGGTAGACATATTAATAAACTTAAATATTTTAATGAGTACGAAGTTTATTCAGCATATTGCCTTTTAACTAAATGTGGAGAACCTGAAAGCTTCAAAGAAGCAGAACAAATTGAAGGTTGGAGTGAAGCTGTGAAAAAAGAAATAAATTCTCTTGAAAAATTGAATACATGGGTTCCAGCAGAGTTACCAAAAGATGCCAAAGCTATAGCTACCAAGTGGGTTTTTAAACTTAAAGACCCGACTTGTGGCTAAAGGTTTTCAAGTGAAGGAGGAGAACTCGCTGGACACTGTATACTCTCCTGTAGCAAGAATGTCCTCCATAAGAATGTTATTAATACATGCTCTTCAAAACAACTGATGTATTCAACAAATGGATATACCCTCCGCCTTTTTAAATGGATACCTAGATTCGGTGATATATATTAAAATACCTGAAGGAGTAAGTATAGAAAATGGAAATGTACTACAACTAAATAGATCTCTATATGGCCTAAGAGAATCACCAAAATGTTGGAATAACCGTTTCAATGAAGTTGTTTTAGACGAAGGTTTTGAAAGGCCTAAACACGATTTTTGCCTCTATATAAAAAGTAATGTTTGGATGATAGTGTACGTAGACGACATAATTATTACAGGAATGAAGAAAGAAATAGAAGAAACAAAGAATATGTTAAAAGTCAAGTTTGAGGCTAAAGATCTAGGAGAAATGGCAAAATTTTTAGGTATGTCTATCACAAGAACCGAAGAAACTTTAAATATAAACCAATTAGAACTAATTGCGAAAATATTGAAAAAATTTAACATGGAAGAATGTCATGGATGCCAAACACCAATAGAAGTTAATTTTCAAATAGTTGCAGACGGAGAAATCATCGAAGTTCCATACAGACAACTAATAGGTAGCTTAATGTATCTTGCTACAACGTCAAGGCCAGATATCATGTATGCTGTTTCTTACCTAACCAGATCACTTGACAAACCTTCAGACCAAACTTGGAAAGCAGCAGAGAGGATATTAAGTTACTTAAAGACTACTGAAAATTTTGGTTTGCGTTACACAAGAGGAAAAATACTCTTGTAGGCTTTGCAGATGCAAACTGGGCAGCAGACACTTCGGACCGCAAAAGTAGATCTATAGTATTCTATTGCAACAATTCAGTTTCTTGGTCATCTAGAAAGCAAAACTGTGTCGCATTGTCATCCACCGAAGCAGAATATGTTGCTGGTTCTGCTGCTGCCCAAGAACTAATGTATTTAAAAGGTATTCTTTTAGATTTTGGTGTTACTACTGAACCTACGTTGTTAATGGACAATGTTGGTGCAATTTGTATGTCAAAATCATATGAAAATTCTAAACGTGTAAAACACATTGATATCAAAGAACACTATATCAAAGATTTGGTCATCAATGGTCAAATTAAAATGAATTATGTTAACACTAAAGATAATGCTGCAGATGATTTTACAAAAGCGTTATGTAAACAAAAATTTTTAAATTTTAGAGATGTTTTAAATATTGTACCTTGATAATGGTATTATGTGCTGTTAAGCGCTTTTCAATTTTTCTGTTAAAAATTTCAAATCGAGGAGGAGTGTTGAATCTATGCAGTACATAGTACACTTACTATATAATATATACAGCATGTATCTATGGTTTCGTAGTGTGTTTTTTGAATAGAAAAAGTTGTCAGTTAATAAATAAAACGTTTGTCATTCTCAATAAAAATTTATTATAAAATTCATAAAAAAAGGTTATAACTGAATAGCTTCCAAAGCGAAAATTACTTCATTTAATTATGTCTATATTTTTAATGTGTAACTGTATTATACTAACATGTTTGTTTTCTAATTTATATTGTCTTGTAAATGGAGATTTTCTGTTGGACAATCAAGACTTTATTTATTTATGATGAAGTAATTCACTTCGAAACCGGTCGCCATTAAATTGACCGTGAGAAATAAACCACTTTTTTACAACCTTGGTACTCAATCCCAAATACATGTGGCTACCCTCACCCCTAATTGTAAAATATCTTTTAAAGAAGGGTGATTGATAACTTCGAATCGTTAAGTGGTATGAATATCTAAAATAAAGGCTCTAGTGTAGATCTTCACGAAATACAAATTTATGTATTAAATATTATGGGAGTTGATATCAAAAAAAAGTGGCCGCTATCTGATAGTCATATAAAGAACCCCGCAGTTTTTTTATGGCAAATGGATTTCGGTCGAATCTTCTAAATTTAATATAATGTAAATCCGAATTGAGTAAAAACACTGCACCAGATATATTTTGTTCTTGGTGTGTGTTGGAAGAAACGAAATTGATGTACATTGAATAATCTGTTAAATTATATAGTAATGTTGTAGTATTAAATCCCTTTAGAGAACTTGAGTTTTTATTCTATTTTTAATTATCATTTTATTTCAGTGTATTTTTATGGAATATACAAAATTATATTTGTTCACGGTATGAATAATAAATGAATAAGAAAAAACACAAATTTTATATCACTAAATTTAAATAGCAAATTGAAATTGAAGGTACATTTTCTCTAAAAAATATGTGGCTATAAATCAGTTAAATACATAAATAAAGAAGGTCTTGTAAACTTACCATTTTAAATTGGGTTGAGAATTCAAAACTGCAGTTAAAGTATTATGCAAAATAACAGAATATTTTCGATTCATTGCAAAGAGCAGATTGTAACAGTCTTATCTTAATTTTATGGATGGTTGATAATAAATCAAATTATATAAATTAAATAAAATCATAATTTGCATCTTTGAAACTATGTGGATGTTTGTACAATTAGGCAATTCCATTTGATAGAAGTGTGGAAATATTTTATAAAAATAAATTTAGTATTTTTTGACGATTTAATAAATACAGGGTGTTTCCGAACTTGGCGTCCAAAGGACCAGGCACCTTTCTTATGGAGAAATGGCATTCGGTCAAATTTTATAAAACTTTTCTAGGTGATAGTAGTCAACTTAGCGACCAAAAGTGTCCATAGCCCCAATCCAATCCTATGGCTAGTTTTTGATATACAGGGTGTTAAATTTCTGAAATAGCCACTTTTCATAACGCCGCAGTCGGAAACAGGGTACAACAATTAAGGTTTTCTATGCAGGATGTGGTTTTTTAATTCTTACACCACATATTCACGTTAAAACATTTTTGTAAAATGTTTTCGTTACAGGGTGATTTAAAGATTTATAGAAGATATTTTTTTTGAATTCTAAAATCTTTATTACAACGGTGAAACAGTTACCATCTTACACTTTTTAGTATATTCAATATTCTAAAATTTAAAGCGATCTATTTTAAAAGTGAATTATACAGGGTGATCCAAAAATCATCCTAATAAAGCATTTTTTGTTTACTGCTCCATGTGTGAACCTACGTGTATTTCTTTCAAGTTGGAGTTTTGGAAACCACTTTTGAAACAATTAGGAAACCCTTTACTATATATTATATAGGGTAATACTTCCATAATAATTATTTACTGCATGTAAAATTGGTAAAAAATCACAGTTTTCTATACCACCCTGTAAAAAAAAAACAAGTCGGTCGAAAATTAATTTTTATATTTCGATAAAGTAACAATTACATAATCTTTATCGTGTAAAAGATTCATTATATTTGTTTGACTAGTTTTTACCTGTACGCCATTCTAAACACAACATCTCCCAATAAAACGGAATTCTTATCTCGGGACATCTTATAATTTTCCTCCTAATAAACCAATGGATAAAAATAGTAAGAAATGAGAATATATAAATCTAAAACCATAGCAGTTTGTTGTTATTACGCTATTTAAACTTATTACGTTATATTGCAGGAAACACATTATTTTATTCAAACATTTTTAGGAACTTTTATAAAAAATACATGAAACTTACAGTTTTTTTTATAAAAAAAAAACAAATTAGCACATTAGTCTTCAAGTATTTCAGGACCTAGTTCTTCTGCATCCCAAACGCAATCTAAAAGTCGTGTGGATGGATACTTGATATTTTCAAGATGCCTCGCGTATCCTAAAAACCATAGTATACATGCAACATGGGTACATGATCCAATCGTTCTTGCACCAGACTTACATGTACAGTAATAGCCTAATAGAGGTGGATCATCGGGATTTTGTGGCTCATTAATATAAACTATCCATGTCATATACTTGGTATTATTTCTAAATCGAGAAAATACCCTAAATCTCAAAAAACTTTCTTCGTAGAATAACTGATCAACTTCAATAACATTTGCTTCATTATGTTGAATAGTATCCTGTATATATGATGTCGACAAATAGACGTGATATGTACCAGAAATTGTTTGAAGGTACTGAAGAGTTAAGCGAGGAAAGGCAGGAATATGTCCATTGTCTAGTGGAACCCACTGACCATTTCGGTGCCTTAGATTTTTAGCTTCTACCCTAGCATGAACTACATTTAATTCTTCCAATCTCTCTACCAGTTGTCTCCCAGTTTCAGCTGTTCCTTCAATTTGAATTAAGGGAAAGTATTTATTTAGAAGCGCTCCAGCAATCAAATAGAAATCACGCAAATGGGCTGCATGATGCGTTGAAATTGTCTGTTTGAAAAACTTAAAAATAGATTTTAGGTGACCATTTCTGGCTTCTACTACCCACCTGGTAGTTGTTATCAGACGAGATTTATTTGAATCAACAGTATTTAGTTGGTTTTGGTTCCTTGGTAGAAAAGGTGGCATATAAATCGTAAGCCCGAGATTTTCCATCGTTTCAATTGAATCTCTGTAACCTCTATCAACTATTAGGATATCACCGTCTTGGAACCAATCTCTTATATTTCCGATATCATTTCGTACCTCGTTACGCAATACTGCAGCATCATTATTCTTGGAGTCGGAGAAATAAGGCCCGTGAATTGCCAAAATATATCCATCTGGAGCAACAATTATTTCAGGCTTTACCAAATGCTCTCGCTTGTGGAAGCAATAAGATTTTCTCAATATACGAAAATTACTGTTTTTTTCAATTTTATTATATGTGCAGTCTATATAAGCAATAGCTTTTGGAATATCTGGAGTGTTATTATAAAGTTAATTAGTAAATTCGGTAACATGTCTAGTTATAAAAATTTCTCGTGTTATAGAGTTAAAACCGATATTGTTAGGTACGAAATTTTGCATCAGAGATAGTCTAATAGCGGATTCGACTGGCTGCATTAATGCGCATTTAGTTCGACTTTTTTAAGTCAATCCATTTATTTACATTTTATTTTCTCTAATTTTGACATATAATAATATCCATTTAATTTACATTTTGTTATTTTCTCTAATTTTGACATATAAAGTAATATATTTTGTAATCGCAGCAAGTGTCAAAACGATCTACTTTATTCAACCAGTTGCATAAAGTAGAACATTATGCAACTGATTGATATTGCCCTTATCATAAATGAATCGTGCTAACAAATAAAGTCAAAAAAAGTCTCATCATTTTTCATCTTTTAGTTACCTACTAAAATTAGGTACTACAATACAAATATTTAAGTCCGGCCCAGAATATCTCCCTACTCCTTTCACCCAGTTTTTCGGTTTTGACCAAATTCGCGCAGCGACATATGCTTCCTATGTTACCTCTATCCTTTCTAACCTCTTTGTGTGGCACCTAGAAAAACATCACTATATCATAGAGGAACAGAATGGTTTTAGAAAAAACAGATGAACACTTGACAACATCTTAGCCATCGAAAGTGACATCCATGAAGCATTAACCATAAAACAAATGTGGTATGCTATCTTTTTCGATATCAATAAAGCCTTCAACATAGATTGGAAACACTATATTTTAAAGAAAATTAAAACTTGGAACATTCAAGGCAAATCTCTCGCTTTTCTAAAAAAACTTCCTAAAAACATCCCTCTTTACCATCAAAACAAACGAGACCACTTCCCAAATCCATTCCCAAGAAAACGGCATTCCACAGGGATCCATACTATGTCCAACCCTTTTTCTAGCAGCCCTAAACGATTTCTTAATTGATTTACATAAACATATAAAAGCCAGACTATATGCGGACGATTTAGTTGTCTAACTAAAAGGAAAATGTCTAACATCAATGACAACTATTATCCAAATACCCCTAAATAGGCTAGAAGAATGGTAACTCACCACAGTATTTAAATTTTCCGTAGAGGAGACACAGTGCACTGTTTTCTCCAAGAAAGATTGCTCACCTCACTCAAGCCTCATGTTATACAACAAACCCGTAAATGTTACATCGACGTTTAAGTTTCTAGACATGATTATTGATAGTAAGCTAACATAAAAGCAACACACAAAACACAGCACTCTTCTGCAACAACATAATTAACCTTTTAAAGACACTGGCACACAAAAGCTGGGGCTCAGACCAAAACACATTATTATTACTGTACATAGCCATTGTAAGGTCAAAAATAGAATATGGGTCAGTCGCCTACTTCTCCGCCAGTAAGACTACTCTGAAGCTACTAGACTCCATTCACAACTCATCCTTAAGAATCGCCTATGGAGCATACAGAACGACATCCGTGCAAAATCTCTACAGTGAGACCGGAGAACCATGCCTCCAACTAAGAATAAAAACACTATCTTTCTCGCACGCCTCGTCATCATCAGCAGCTAAAAACAAACCGGTATACTCAAACGCTTTTAATAATAGATATCAAAATTATTTTAATAATAAACCTAGACTAGCAAAACCCTACTATGAGAGTAGGGCTGTTACGGAATAGCTTTCTGACGTATCTAGTACGACCTGTACCTGTTCCAAGCAGATACCTATTCCAAATACCTATTCCCGTTACAAGCTATTCCAACTCTAAATTTTATGAATATTGTTGGCGCATGTTCAGTAGGGAGTAGGGGAATCCCTGAATCCGGTGAATCCCATAAGCATAATATATAATATCGACCGATATTGTACTGAAATTAAAGCGTCCCGTTGTTTACATAATAAATAATAACATTAAGTAAATTATTGGTCATTATGAATAGACGTTCGAGTATAGTGTGGAATTTTTTTTCGGTGGTAGATGACAAAAAACAAATTGCAAAATGTAATATGTGCAAAACAGTAATTTCTTTTAAAACCACAGTATCTAATTTAAAAAAACATCTTTTAAGAAAGCATCCTACAGTTCAATTACAATTACTAGATAATAAAAATTTGAATAAAGGCAATGAAATAAAACAAGATAATATAGCAGAAGATGATTCTTCTATGGTAGAAGTACATGATAATACCCACATCATTCCATTACAAGTAAATTCTTTCTTATGTACACTTTTTTGTATTAAAAAAAAATCTTTCAGGTTGATTCCACACAGGCCTCTACATCCACTTCTACGAGTTTTGAGTGTATTAAAACGAAATCTACCACCCAGACCAAGATTTCTTCGTTTGTCCCGAAAAAAATTACCACAGGTTCAAAGAAAAAAATTAATGCTGCATTGTGTATGTTATTTTACAAAGATTTCCAACCATTTAGAGTGGTAGAAGATGAAGGTTTCCGTCGTTATACTAACGCTCTAAACCCTAATTACGAAATTCCTAGCAGACAAGTTTTATCCAGGACCTTGACACCTAGTAAAAAATAATGTTTCCGAGGAAAAAACAAGTCATATTAAATCGCCTTAGCCTAGGTCACACCAAACTGACACACTAACACCTTTTAAAGAATATAGGCCCACCATTCTGCGATGTTTGCGATACACACCTTACCGTACAACACATACTCATAGAGTGTACTAAACACACTAACACTCCAGG